TATATATATATATTTATATATATATATATATATATATATGTTTTTGTTTTATTTTATTTTTATTATTTTTAATTTTATTTATTTGTTTAAATTTACAAATGTTGCCTTGGCAACTAACCAAAATAAATAATTTGAAGTACTAAAATTAAAAGTGAAGTACTAAAACTAAAAGTGAAATTAAACAAAACAAATTTAAACTGAAATTAAAATGAAAACTGAAAATATAAAAATAAAAGCTAATTCAAAATATTTAAAAAATACTATAATAGTAAATAATATTAAAATAACACTTTGCATTACAGTCTCTTTTTTTTTTTTAGTATGGTAATGAAGAAATAGAAAGTATGTTTAATTGTCATGAACATTTGTCAAATGTAAAATACTGAATGATCCTGAAATACTGTAGGCATCATGTTGTTGAAAAAAAAATTTCTTATTTCTTTCTATTGGTTTTGGAGGTGAAATATGACCCGGACATGTTCTTGACAGGATTTGAAAGATTTGTCGTCCTATTTGATAGAAGATCAAACTGATAATCTCAGGAGATCCGCAGTGGCACGGCCTCCTCCTCCTCCATCTTCAGAAACTGCCCTCCAGGTGGCTTTGATATGAGTTTATCCACCGGTCGGTCCTGGGGTGGATGGGGCTTTTGTGGCGGCTTAAAGTCTCTTGATGGATTCTGCTCTTTGTCGATGCTGTTGGTGTGGCGTTCTGCTCCACTGATTTACTTGTGCACCTCGCCTGTGCCCCCGTCTAGCTTTGCTTCAGTGACATTGAAGTTGTCCAGGAGAATGTCCTTTATAAGGAAGCTTTCCTTTGGCCTCTCTCGTCCTTAGAGACGGGTTTCCATGGTGAGAAAAGGTGGGAGGCAGGAGTCTGGTTTTAATGCGATGGGTGTGGCATCGATGGAAGCCTGTGTGAGTGCCGCCCATCAGGCCAGGCTTGAATTTGCAGATCTCGATGCTCTCAGCTCAACGCCACCATTATGAGTCCACAATTAAAGATTCATACGCTCCACAGGAGAGCAACACGGTGGGCCACAGGCTCATCGCCATTCCAGGTTTAGCTCCCGCTGAATAGATGCCAACGATGTTGACTAAGGTTTCTTTTGTCTGACTTTTGCTCTGGTGCAAATTTCCTCCTCCTCAGAAAAGAATATGCACCCACAGCTGCGACACATTCATGCGCCTGACTATTCATGCTGCTCTGCTTATATTCACATGCATGAAGGCACAGATATTCAGCGTATGAATTTCCAATAAGGTATTATCTCACTATGAATGGGATTTTGGAGATACCTCCACTGTCATTTTCCTGATGCACAAAAGAATCGGAGTATGAATAGAACCATTTGAACAGGTCCATGAGAGAGAGAGAATGACAGACACACCTATTCACGACATTAAAGTGAAGAGTGTCATTTTTTTTTAAGTGTTAAAATCAACGTGAAATCCAAATTGATCCTATTTAGTTTCTTAATACACATACCTGGTCTTATGGAGCGCATTCACACTGCAGCTAAATACGGATGCCACTCCGTGTTCAGTCTCGTTCTGAACATTAGTGCCATTCAAAATGGGATTGAGAATGCTTTTGAAATTCCAATTTAGATCCTGAATTTGAAACAAGGCAACATATAGGATGCAAAATTACAGTTCAAATTTGAATGTAAAAAAGTAGAATTCAGATGGATGGATGGATGGATGGATAGATAGATAGATAAAAAGTTTAAAAGCCGTTGAAATTTGAGGGTTTATATTAAACTGGATGATGGATGGATGGATGGATGGATGGATGGATGGATGGATGAAAAGTTTAAAAGCCGTTGAAATTTGAGGGTTTATATTAAACTGGATGATGGATGGATGGATGGATGGATGGATGGATGGATGGATGGATGGATGGATGGATGGATGGATGGATGGATGGATGGATGGATGGATGGATGGATGGATGGATGGATGGATGGATGGATGGATGGATGGATGGATGGATGGATGGATGGATGGATGGATGGATGGATGGATGGATGGATGGATGGATGGATGGATGGATGGATAGGTTTAAATTAAACTGGATGGATGGGTGTATAGAAAAATGGATAGATAGATAGATAGATAGATAGATAGATAGATAGATAGATAAAAGTTTAAAAGCCGTTGAAATGTGAGGGTTTATATTAAACTGGATGATGGATGGATGGATGGATGGATGGAACATATCATGAAAAAATTATAGAACGATAGATAGAATGACATAATGATGGAACGATAGATAAATAGACAGACAGATATATGGAGAGACAAAACAATAGAAAGATAGATAGAACGATAGAACAATAGATAGAATGAAAGAGTGACAGATAAAACGATCGAAAGAGAATGACATAGATAGATAGATAGATAGATAGATAGATAGATAGATATACGGAGAGATAGAATGACAGAATGATAGATAGAACGATAGATAGATAGAACGTTAGTTCATCATTAGTTTTGCGTTTTTGTTTGGTGCTGATAGGTGAGACAGAAATCGAACCTTTAACAAAGAAGCTTTTACATCAATGTCAGCACAGAAAGCTTTACTGCAGTAGTCTGTCTGCTCAAGTGATTGACATTTAATATGTTCACATCCTCCACCCTTAATCTGTCTCGGCCCCTTTCTGCCCCGCGTTGTAAAATATACATAAGCTGTCTTGAGCATCAGCAGCTCTCTCTGGCACATACTTAAACCTGAACGCTATCAGTCGCCATGACCTGGCCAGACTAACTCCACATATTCCCGCAGTCTCACTCCATCAAACGGACAATCTCTCTGCCGTCAATCTCCATAAACGGGCCTCTCGCGGGGCCGACGGCTTATTGAGCCGACATTTGGCACGTCTGTAGAAAAGAGCGCCCTGTCGGACTCGCTCCCCTGAGACATCGCTGTGCGTCCAGACGGGCTCAACAACTGAGGCAATCTCCCGAGTGGACTTTTCCAATTACGATCCCAAGTGGGAACATCTGATGCAAGGTGGCCAGAACAATGGCCCTGTTTGATAGGCCGGTGAGATGCCTTCAATTGAGTAAGTGCAGCCTTAAATAGTTTTTTTTGATGGAAGGATGCAGGCGACAGACACCGGGCCCCTCCCTTTCCTGAGAAAAACCCCTTCACATCGGGTCCCGCCAGGGGCCGGCCCATGGTCGCCCATCCCTCAGCCCCTCTATAATGTAATCTGGAGTGTCTCCCAGAGCAGACAGAGGGAGCACAAACAGTATTAGTGTGTAAATGGAGGAAGGGTAATAAGGCAGCTCTTGGGCCATGAGAGGACACTGAGCAGAAATAACACGGGATGTGAGCCGGCTCCCAGACGCCCCTGTGCTCGTCTTCAATACTCAGCAGAGCTTATTATCCAGCCATATATAAAGATCACTCTAAAACAGGGCCAAACGCAGGAACCGCATGGGGCGGCAGCGACATCAGGCCATTAAAATGTGTGCGGCTCTTGCATTTGAAAGGGCTTTATTTATTTCACCGGAAATGTTCTACATTCCAACATGGATGTGTTGGCTAATTAGGCTTGTCATTCATTAGTCTCTGTCTGTCTTGTTGCTGTCACTCTTCCTTTTCTTTGAAATATTTCAAATGACTTCCTCATCCGCACATACTCTCTCTCTAGTTATATTTTGATCACCTAGAATTCCCGCTATAGTTAACATCGCTTTTCTTTCTGTGCTTTCATACATTTAGCTTCCACTGACTTTTTAAAAGGAACATACTGGGTTTAATAGAAGAAAAAGCAATAGTACATCCAAGAATGGAAATTATTTACTCACTTTCATGCCGTTCAAAACCTGTGTGCAATTAATTATTTTGTGGAAATTAATGAAATCTTTTTAAAGAAGCTTGTAGCTCTTTTCCAACAACAACAGTTCATAGTGACCACGTCAAGCTCTAAAAAACACCATGAAAACTTACTGCTGTAAAAATATTTCATAAGTGTCAAAGTTTTTAAATAAGATTACCTTTCTAGATGGATGAACATCTGGTTATGTGTTACCAACTTAACCTGTGGCTGAATTTTCTACAGTGTTGATCAGCTTTACCAGCCTTTCTTGGACAAGCTATTGAAGTCAGTAAATGATTCTATCAGACTCACCCAATACTAACACTGTAATGTTTTTTAAGTTCTGTTGCCTATACTTCTGAAACACTATTTTAACATCTTGTCACCATTCCATTCCACTTCCATTGTAAGTGTGTGAGTGTAATTGTGATTTTTATTTTATTTATTTTTTTAGGATGAGTCAAAATTATTCTCTGTGGTAATCGAATGCTGTGCATAGAGCTTAACAGGGCGGTTCACCCCAAACTACCAACTTTACTAACCCTCATGTCGTTCCAAACCAGTATGACTTTCTTTCAAGTGTTATTTTAGTATTATTTATATACTATAATATTTATTAATATTTTGAATTTATTTTATAAAGTTTTTATTTAGTAGTTTTAGTAATTTTGCTATGTGCTTTTGTCATTATAATTTTTTTACATTTTTGAAATGTATATTTATTTCAGTTTTAGTAAATATAGTACTTTAACTTAAACTGATTTATTTTAGTTAGTGCAGTGCAATATTTGCAAGGTTTTCAACTAATGTTTATATTTTATGTCAGCTGTATTTTAATGAAAGAAAACAATATTCAAAACTGTGTAGCTTTGGTCAACAATTACAACACTTGTTCTTTCTTCTGGGCAACACAACAGAAGATACTTCCAAACAACACTGGACCCACCGTATTAAATCCAGAACACTGCCTGATTTCTCCTCTATTCCTTGCAGATGTTCTCATCAAAACTGTGGACAGCGTGTTCGTGTTCCAGGAGGGAGTGGAGAGCGACACCAATGCGGCTGCTGCGTACGACGCTATAGTGGTGGAACAATGGACAATCATTGATGTGAGTTACACTCAAACAAACACACGCTTGCATTCTGTTCTTCAGAGTACTATTGTCATATTTACCTGTACACTGTAAAAAAATGATTATTCAAAGTATAAGGTTATTGGAGTATGTTTTACAAGAAAATACTATTTCAGTCTTTGTACCTCAAAATTTCTCATTTCGATGCATTACTTGCTGTTTCATTGTAATTATTTGTGAAATGTATTAGAATTTATTACATTTGCTGAAAATGTACTCACCCTCACGCCATCCAAGATGTAGATGAGTTTGTTTCTTCATCAGAACAGATTTGGAGAAATTTAGCTTTACCAGTGCTCACCAATGGATCCTCTGCAGTGAATGGGTGCCGTCAGAATGAGAGTCCAAACAGCTGATAAAAACATCACAATAATCCACAAGTAATCCACACCACTCCAGTCCATCAGTTAACGTTGTATGAAGTGAAAAGCTGGATGTTTGTAAGAAACAAATCCATCAAGACGTTTTAATTTCAAACCGTTGCTTCCGGCTAAAATGTGACCCTGGAGCACAAAACCAGTCTTAAGTCGCTTGGGTATATTTTTAGCAATAGCCAAAAAAACATTGTATGGGTCAAATATGTATGTATATGTATGTACGGGATTTTTTTTTTTTTTCATGCCAAAAATCATTAGGATATTAAGTAATTGACCTTTATGACTGGTTTTGTGGTCCAGGGTCACAAATATGAGCAAAAACATTACTTTCTCCAGAGAAAAAGTTGTCTTGTCTGAATCAGGAAAAGAATATGCATAGATCAAGCACTGTTTACAAGAAAAAAACAGTCCAAAATAGCTCTAAACAAATATGGGTGGATTTATGGACTTTTTTATAATAGCACTTAAGAAAGTGTTGTTGTAGATAATGGAGAGGATCTATTGGTGAGCAAGTGATGTAATGCTAACTTTCTCCAAATCTGGAGAAACTCATCTACATCTTCGATGGCCTGAGAGTGAGTAAATTTTCAGCAAATTTTAATTTTTAGGTGAACTATTCCTTAAATTATTTGCACAAACTACTAAAAACCACTCAATTAGGCAAAACTGAAAAAAAAAAAA